AGGTCCCTACGTGAGACAGGGGTTGACAGGGAGGAGAGGGACATGGAAAGTGGAGGGGCTGAGGGCCAGGTCCTTGAGGTTGCAGAGATCTGTGGGCCCCCCCCAGGCCCCCTTCATCCTTGGCAGCTTCGGCTCCCCCCTCCTGCACCCAGCTCAGGTGGCTGCATCCCTGCCGAGGAGGAGGTGTGGAGCCAGGGGACAAGGAGGGGTGAGGAAGCAAGAGCCAAAAGTGGGTGAGGAGCAGGAAGTCTCTTGCCCATGGAGTCCCATGGGGGCATTAGAGCAGCTGTGGGTGAAGCAAGGCTGCCACTTACCCTGCAGGGTTGCCCATGTCCCAGAGAGGAGGAAGAGGTAGAGAAGGACGAGGAGGAGGCAGCAGCGAGGGGGCTGCATGGTGCCAGCAGTGAGGCCCAGAGTGTGCAGCAGTGGGTGCAGCAGCAGGAGGAAGAGGCTGTGGGAGATGAGGCTGGAGATGTCTGAGGCTGGCTGTGCCTGGGCAGCTCTGCTGGTTGTAATGGCCCTGGCAGCCAATGGGGCTGGCCCTGAGGTTTAGGGGAGGGCTCCTAGGTTCCCACTTGGGGTAGGCTGGGGCCTCCCGAGTGTGACTGTGAGTGTTGGGGGAATTTACTTTTGAGCAAGGTCACCCCACCGCACCCAGGATTGATCCCTCATGGCCAAGGCAGCACCGTGACAATTAGGGTGATGGGGGTGAACTGACCCCTCTTTTCTCCCCCCCTTTCAGGTGGATGTGTCTCCTGCCCATGGGCTGCATGCACTGCCCTGAGGGGAATATCCTGTCCTGCCAGTTGTGCCTGGCGTGTCTCGCCCTGCACAGAACAGACCCCGCCATCCACTGTGCACTGCCAGGTGGGTTCACACCAACGGGGCTGCCTTTCCCAGAGGGCAGCAGAACCCTCTTCCCACCACATGGCTTTGTGCCTGGGCTCTCTGTGCCCCCAGGCTGTGTGCCCATCCCATGCCTCTTTATCACCTCCCAGCCACACCACAGCCAGGCCACACTGATGGGCTGTGGGTATAGAAGCTGGTGAGGTGGCAAACCTGCAGGAGAAGCGCTGGGCCAGGCACGTGGGTCAAGCCCATGGCCCTGGACAGCTCTGGGGGATGAGTGTGATGGAGAAGAGCTGATGGGGACATTCCCTGGCCCCTTGGCACTGCTGGCCTGATTCAGTGGGCAAGGGACTCCCCAGGTTGAGGTGATGAGCAGTTCCAGTGTGGACCACAGCTGTGGGGTCAGGGATGGGTGCAGGCAGAGCCAGAGAAAGCAGCTCCTCCAGGAGCTTCTTTTGGGGTGCCTAAGGTGAATGGGCTAGAGCAGCTGTAGTGTGTTGTTTCCAAGGGAAGTGATGGGCTGCAGGGCCTGGAAGGGACTGTTTCTTATTGACAGTCATCAGAATTCTGGAGCAGTGGTACTTGGCCAGTAGGTTTGGGATGGGAGCATGTACCCTACTCTGATGGCCATTGCAGGGAGTTTCAGTGGATGAGCAGCTTCCCCCTTTCCATGGAGCTCTATCCATGCTCTAGGAGCTGGGAGCTGCTTCTCTGCTTCCCTGCACCCCAGTGTTGGGGAGCCCCAACTCTGCCCTGAATGCTCCCAGGAGAGGGCCTGGGGATGGCCTGCAGGCTGACACTCCCCTTTCCTTCTCACCAGCTTTGGTAGGGCACCCTGTCCCCCTCCTGAGGAGTCCCCTGTGCGTGGGAACAGGAACGGTGGGAGCCATTCCCCTGCTCTGTCCCCATTGGCACCAGTGTCCCAAGCTGGGGGTTAGCAGAGGCAGCCTCACCCCCCAGTGTCCCTGATCCACTGCTCCTCCCTTACCTGCAGTTTCTCTTCCCCTTTCCTGGAGGGAGCCCAAGCTGAGGGCGAAGGCAGAGCTGAAAGCACATGTGAGGGGAAGTGTGAGGGGGGTGCCCTGATAACACCCAAACACAACCAGGGCCGAGGGGTGTGACCCCCGTGCTGTGGGATCCCTCCAAGCACAACTGGATCCAGGTGTCGCTGCTCCATGTCTCCATTTTCGGTGTCTCCAGCTGTAGGGACATGGGGAAGGCCCACATGGAGCTGCTGCAGGCTGAGGTGCAGCCCCTCGTGACACTGAGTCAGTCCTGGGGACACAAGGACCCCAAACCCCTTCCCTTCCATGGAGCTGTCCCAGTGAGAAGTAGGGATGCTGTGGTGGCCTGGGAGGCCCAGAAATGGCACCAACTTCCCCAGCTATGGCACCACAAAGTCCACATCCCTTCCTTTGAAGCCACCAGTGCTGGGCCCAGAGGGGAGTGTTTGGCTGGTGGGATGGCAAAGCGCAGCCTTGGGGAGTCAGGGAGGGAAGGGGCAGAGGGACTTCTGTCCACACTGTCCTGTGAGGTGACCACTTGTCCCCACGATCCCCCCTAAGATGAGTGTTGGTCACTTCTTGCTGAGCAGCTGAGGGGCCGTTCTCAGCCCTCTGAGGGGCCGTTCTCAGCCCTCTGTCCTGTGCAGGTGCACATGACACTGCTGGTGCCTGGGTCTCTGGTAGGACAGGAGCAGGCACCTGCTTTGTGCTGGTGGTCACAATGTGTTCAGCCCCCTCTGAATTTTCTCCAGATGTTTCCCACTGTCACAGGGGATCAGAAGTACTTCTTTAGCCATTCCTCTTCTCTATGGAATGTACTTCTCCTCGTGGTTTTGTTTTTGTTTGTATTGATGGAAGGGCATGAACAGATTGCTCACAGACCCTTAGGATCGGCAAAATGTCAGCTTCATTAGAAGAAAGACAAAATATATAGTGGTTATGACGCTTAATTCTTGTTCACACTACATTGGTTACCTAAGGAAAACATACTGTGCTTTCCACTGCTAATTGGATCACAACAGGTGGTCATAGGAGATGAGAAAACTTTATTCACCTGCCAAAACTCCTCCTTGACACCTGGCATGAATCCACCTTTGTTCTAACTTCAGGTCCTGTAGCCATCTTAATGGTGTAGTATTTTTTACTGTCTGCACCCAGCCTTGCCAAGGCAATACACAGAGAAATGCAAGGGAAATTGTTCACACAATTTCTATCCTGTGACATGTTTGGTTTGTTGTTTTTTTTTCCTCTTTCTTTCTTGCTCACAACTTCTTCGTCCTTCACGTTGTCCCTTTCTCTGGTCAGAAAATAACCCAAGGGGACAGGGGGCTCTTGATCCACACTGACCATTGGTCCTCACTGTCCTCTCAGGTGACCATGGTCTTCAGAGTCACCCCCAGGTTACCACTGGTCCCCACAGTTCCCTCAGGTTCTTTACAGTCCTACTGGGTGATTACTGGTGCTCACTTTCCCCCTGCACCAGGTGACTGTAGGAGTTTGTTCCACCTCATGTGACCCACAGGGGACACTGGTGTTTGCATCCCCTCAGGTGATTGTTGGTCCTTGCAGTGCCCCCTGTGCTGAAGGCTGTAAGCCCCGAGGCCAGGGCTGTGCCTGGGTGAGTCGTGCTGGGGTGGACAGGGCTGCAGTGCCCCTGGGTGCTGCACTGAGGTGGGCAGCAACACTCGGTGGGCTGGGCTGAAGTGCCTGAAGAGCCCTCTCAAAATGCCTGGGTGGGGGCTGTTTGTTATAGGGTCTCTTGGGGGGCTGTGAGCACACACTTGCAGACAGGTGCCAGGTGTTTTGGCTGTGTAGGGTCTCTGTGTGAATGACCTCCCAAAACACCTTTCCTCAACATGTTTGCCCACCAGCTGCACCTGCTTTCCAGGTTCTGTGGGTGAGCTTCATCCTGCCCCATCCCGTGAGTGCTGCAGGGTGTTCCACTCTGCCTGGGAGAGGAATTGCCCCATTTGCTCCCAGAGGGAGCCCTGCCCACACCCGAGGGTTCCATCTGTCTGTCCCAAGTCAGCAAGGGCTGGGAGAGGCTTGGTGTCACCCCTCATGCTGCAAGGTCCTTGAGCCCTGTGGTGCCAGCAGGTGACTCTGGCTGCCAGGAAAATGGAGTCCTGCCACCAGCATCATTGTTTCCAGGCTCTGGCCGAGGGGGAACAAAGCCCAGGAGAGCTGTGGTGGATACAGCCACAGGCCAGCTGGATTTTCTGGCTCCCCCATGGCTGCCAGACTTGTCTTGGGGAATTTTGCAGGGAAAGCAAAGCTTTTGAAGCTCTGTGTTTAAGTTGGTTGGGAGCATGAATTAAATGCCTTCCTGTGTCTGTCTGAACACTGCTGTCTTCAATGGGACATGGGCTTCCTTTTCCTCCTTTATTAGAAGCCTTGGGGGCACTTTACCCCTATGTGCACAGTTACTTGTTTCCATGCAGTATGTGAGAACATGTTCATATATGCACAGGCACACCTGTACTTTTTTTTTCCCCTTGCCTTGGTGTTTCCTGCAATTAGTGCCAATAATTCAGTGGTGCTCTGGCTTCTCTTTGCAGCTGATCAAAACCTCCCCCAAGGCCATACAACTCCTGAGGAAAGGCACATGATCTTAGTGAAAATATTGATTTTATTACACACATCTGCACATATTCTACACATCTCCCACATATTATACCAGAGTTTCAGTGTTACTCAGTGCTTTGTAAAGCCATTTGTGGCCAGGTTCTGTTAGTCTGTGTGGAACAGTTCAGTCTCAGCACAAAGACTTCTGGAATATGGTTAATCAAGGCACTTTTTAGGAAAAAAAATTACCTAGAAAATGGAAGTGGAAGGGTACAGCTTTCCACCTAGTGATCAAAGTGTTATTGTAGCAGAAGTGGGAGAAATTGCCTCTGGGCATTGAGGTGCCCTAGAGCCTCAGTGGGTGCCTAAGGCAGTGGCACAAGAGGTGTAAAAAGGGAGGAGGTCTGAGACCCGTGTCTGTGTCTGCTTAGCAAATTCAAGTGAGTCAGAAGCCACCCAGGTTTCTCCCCTGCATCCCTGAGTCGAGTTAGTCTTGCAATCTTGAAGCAGAAGAAGGTAATTCTTGTCCCTGTTGGCTGACAGGTGCCAAGAGGGACCAGGGACAGTTGTCTCCCTTCTGGGCTAAGCTTCTTTGCTCAGGATGGAGTTCCTGGACTGTGATTCCTCTGTGCCCTGGTGCTTTCTGAAAGGAGAGGGGGACAGCTGACAGCTGCTGCACGGCAGAGACCTTGTAGGGGTGCAGAGAGGAGCTGGCAGGGCTGAAGCCGGAGCTCTGCTGCCCAGTGCAGAAATGCCCTGGGGCATCCCCTCCCCTCCTGTCCCTGTGCTGCTGTGTGGGGCAGGAGGAGACTCACCTGCGTCTCCAGAGGCAAAGCAGCAGCAGGGCAGCAAGAGCCACGGCTCCCAGCAGCCCGGCCACGAGCCCTGTGATGAGCAGCACCGGTGAGTTCCCTGGGCAATAGAAGGAGGGGCTGCCATGAACTTGCCGGGCTTTGCTCCATCCCATGGGGTGGGCGGCTGGGGCGCCCCTTGCCGTGCCCCCGGGTGGCACCTACCCCAGGGGACGAGGAGGCTGCGGGTGCCCAGGCTGCGGTGGCGCACGCGGCAGGCGTAGCTGTGCCCGTCCTGGGGGGCCACGGCCAGGACGCTGGAGAGCTGGTAGGTGAGGTCAGCGTTGGGCAGGACGGGGCTGGTGTTGAGCTGCGGGCCCGGAGGCACCTCGTGGCCATCCCTCAGCCAGGCCACACTGATGGGCTGGGGGTAGAAGGCGGTGACGTGGCAAACCAGCAGCAGCTGGTGTGGGCTGGGCGTGCGGGCAAAGACCGTGGCCACGGGCAGCTCTGGGGGGTGGGAGCAAAGGGGTGGGGGAAGCCCTGGTTGGGCACGGCTTGGCCCCAGGGCTTTGGGGTGGCTGTGGCAGGGTCAGGGTGGTCTCACCTTGTCTCTCCAGAGCTGCCCTCCCGTAACTCAGGAACATCTCCAGGGCATTGACACAGGTATCGTTCAAGAGGTCCTTCACCGCCTCAACGAGGGTTGTGTCGTTCTGGAGGACATCCCTGACGTACCGTGCCAGGTCAGTGTCCTGGGAGAGGGTCCAGGTGGCATTGTCTGTGTTGAAGCTGAGGAAGTCCTGCCCATTGTAGCCCACATAGCTGAATATCTGAGAGGTCCTGTTGGGGTAGAGCTTGCAGCCTGCCATGACCTGAGCCACAAAGGGGTCTGGAGGGGCCGAGAGGGGAGAGAGGTGTCATGAGGGGCTGGGATTGCCTTCCTGCAGGCATGATCAGTGCCAGTACTTTCCAGATCCTTCCCCACTCCCCAACTGCTATTTAGAGAGGGGATGCAGTGAAGAGTGGATACTCACAGGGCACATCCTTCTGCATGGCCCCTTCATTGATCTGTCGGATGAACTGATGCAAATAGATCTTGATCATGTTGTCAATGGTGTCCCACTCACTGTGGGGCAGGGATGGACGGACCCAGGGCTGGCAGAAGTGGATGTCCCAGGTGTGCTTATCAAGAGACCCAAGTTCGATGTCCTCCAGCAGGCCTATCCCCTCCGTGTCCACAAAGGAGGTGTTTTGGAAGGTAGAGGTTTGAAGCAGCCGGAAAGTGAAGGTCCCTGTTTGAGACAGGGGTTGACAGGGAGGAGAGGGACATGGAAAGTGGAGGGGCTGAGGGCCAGGTCCTTGAGGTTGCAGAGATCTGTGGGCCCCCCCTAGGTCCCCTTCATCCTTGGCAGCCCCGGCTCCCACCCCTGCACCCTCCTCAGGTTGCTGCATCCCTACCGAGGAGGAGGTGTGGAGCCAGGGGACAAGGAGGGGTGAGGAAGCAAGAGCCAAAAGTGGGTGAAGAGCAGGAAGCCTCTTGCCCATGGAGTGCCACGGGGGCATGGGAGCAGCTGTGGGTGAGGCAAGGCTGCCACTTACCCTGCAGGGTTGCCCATGTCCCAGAGAGGAGGAAGAGGTAGAGAAGGATGAGGAGGAGGCAGCAGCGAGGGGGCTGCATGGTGCCAGCAGTGAGGCCCAGAGTGTGCAGCAGTGGGTGCAGCAGCAGGAGGAAGAGGCTGTGGGAGATGAGGCTGGAGATGTCTGAGGCTGGCTGTGCCTGGGCAGCTCTGCTGGTTGTAATGGCCCTGGCAGCCAATGGGGCTGGCCCTGAGGTTTAGGGGAGGGCTCCAAGTTTCCACTTGGGGTAGGCTGGGTCATCCCGAGTGTGACTGTGAGTGTGGGGGGAATTTGCTTTGGAGCAAGGTCACCCCACCGCACCCAGGATTGATCCCTCATGGCCAAGGCAGCACCGTGACAATTAGGGTGATGGGGGTGAACTGACCCCTCTTTTCTCCCCCCCTTTCAGGTGGATGTGTCTCCTGCCCATGGGCTGCATGCACTGCCCTGAGGGGAATATCCTGTCCTGCCAGTTGTGCCTGGCGTGTCTCGGCCTGCACAGAACAGACCCCGCCATCCACTGTGCACTGCCAGGTGGGTTCACACCAACGGGGCTGCCTTTCCCAGAGGGCAGCAGAACCCTCTTCCCACCACATGGCTTTGTGCCTGGGCTCTCTGTGCCCCCAGGCTGTGTGCCCATCCCATGCCTCCTTGTCACCTCCCAGCCACACCACAGCCAGGCCACACTGATGGCCTGTGGGTATAGAAGCTGGAGAGGTGGCAAACCTGCAGGAGAAGAGCTGGGCCAGGCACGTGGGTCAAGCCCACGGCCCTGGACAGCTCTGGGGGATGAGAGTGATGGAGAAGAGCTGATGGGGACATTCCCTGGCCCCTTGGCACTGCTGGCCTGATTCAGTGGGCAAGGGACTCCCCAGGTTGAGGTGAGAGCAGTTCCAGTGTGGACCACAGCTGTGGGGTCAGGGATGGGTGCAGGCATTGCTGGAGGAAGCAGCTCCTCCAGGAGCTCCTTTTGGGGTGCCTAAGGTGAATGGGCTAGAGCAGCTGTAGTGTGTTGTTTCCAAGGGAAGTGATGGGCTGCAGGGCCTGGAAGGGACTGTTTCTTATTGACAGTCATCAGAATTCTGGAGCAGTGGTACTTGGCGAGGCAGGATCCTCAAGCTAGGCTGGGGATGGGACCATGTACCCCCACTCTGATGGCCATTCCAGGGAGTTTCAGTGGATGAGCAGCTTCCCCCTTTCCATGGAGCTCTATCCATGCTCTAGGACCTGGGAGCTGCTTCTCTGCTTCCCTGCACCCCAGTGTTGGGGAGCCCCAACTCTGCCCTGAATGCTCCCAGGAGAGGGCCTGGGGATGGCCTGCAGGCTGACACTCCCCTGTCCTTCTCACCAGCTTTGGTAGGGCACCCTGTCCCCCTCCTGAGGAGTCCCCTGTGCATGGGAACAGGAACGGTGGGAGCCATTCCCCTGCTCTGTCCCCATTGGCACCAGTGTCCCAAGCTGGGGGTTAGCAGAGGCAGCCTCACCCCCCAGTGTCCCTGATCCACTGCTCCTCCCTTACCTGCAGTTTCTCTTCCCCTTTCCTGGAGGGAGCCCAAGCTGAGGGCGAAGGCAGAGCTGAAAGCACATGTGAGGGGAAGTGTGAGGGGGGTGCCCTGATAACACCCAAACACAACCAGGGCCGAGGGGTGTGACCCCCGTGCTGTGGGATCCCTCCAAGCACAGCTGGATCCAGGTGTCGCTGCTCCATGTCTCCATTTTCGGTGTCTCCAGCTGTAGGGACATGGGGAAGGCCCACATGGAGCTGCTGCAGGCTGAGGTGCAGCCCCTCGTGACACGGAGTCAGTCCTGGGGACACAAGGACACCAAACCCCTTCCCTTCCATGGAGCTGTCCCAGTGAGAAGTAGGGATGCTGTGGTGGCCTGGTAGGCCCAGAAATGGCACCAACTTCCCCAGCTATGCCACCACAAAGTCCACATCCCTTCCTTTGAAGGCACCAGTGCTGGGCCCAGAGGGGAGTGTTTGGCTGGTGGGATGGCAAAGCGCAGCCTTGGAGCAGTCAGGGAGGGAAGGGGCAGAGGGACTTTTGTCCACGCTGTCCTGTGAGGTGACCACTTGTCCCCATGATCCCCCCTAAGATGAGTGTTGGTCACTTCTTGCTGAGCAGCTGAGGGGCCGTTCTCAGCCCTCTGAGGGGCCGTTCTCAGCCCTCTGTCCTGTGCAGGTGCACATGACACTGCTGGTGCCTGGGTCTCTGGTAGGACAGGAGCAGGCACCTGCTTTGTGCTGGTGGTCACAATGTGTTCAGGCCCCTCTGAATTTTCTCCAGATGTTTCCCACTGTCACAGGGGATCAGAAGTACTTCTTTAGCCATTCCTCTTCTCTATGGAATGTACTTCTCCTCGTGGTTTTGTTATTGTTTGTTTGGTTTGTTGTTTTTTTTCCTCTTTCTTTCTTGCTCACAACTTCTTTGTCCTTCACATTGTCCCTTTGTCTGGTCAGAAAATAACCCAAGGGGACAGGGAGCCCTGCCCACACCCGAGGGTTTCATCTGTCTGTCCCCAGTCAGCAGGGGCTGGGAGAGGCTTGGTGTCACCCCTCATGCTGCAAGGTCCTTGAGCCCTGTGGTGCCAGCAGGTGACTCTGGCTGCCAGGAAAATGGAGTCCTGCCACCAGCATCATTGTTTCCAGGCTCTGGCCGAGGGGGAACAAAGCCCAGCAGAGCTGTGGTGGATACAGCCACAGGCCAGCCGGATTTTCTGGCTCCCCCATGGCTGCCAGACTTGGGAAATTTTGCAGGGAAAGCAAAGCTTTTGAATCTCTGTGTTTAAGTTGGTTGGGAGCATGAACTAAATGCCTTCCTGTGTCTGTCTGAACTCTGCTGTCTTCAGTGGGACATGGGCTTCCTTTTCCTCCTTTCTTAGAAGCTTTGGGGGCACTTTACCCCTATGTGCACAGTTACTTGTTTCCATGCAGTATGTGAGAACATGTTCATATATGCACAGGCACACCTGTACTTTTTTTTCCCCCTTGCCTTGGTGTTTCCTGCAATTAGTGCCAATAATTCAGTGGTGCTCTGGCTTCCCTTTAGAATCATAGAATCATAGAATAGATTAGGTTGGAAAAGACCTCCAAGATCATCAAGTCCAACCCCTTGATCCAACTCCAATTACTATATCATGGCACTAAGGGCCACGTCCAATCTATTTTTAAAAACCTCCAGGGATGGTGAATCTACCACCTCTCTGGGTAGGCTGTTCCAATGTCTGATAACCCTCTCTGTAAAGAATTTCTTCCTAACATCTAACCTAAACCTCCCCTGGCAGAGCTTGAACCCCTGTCCCCTTGTCCTTGCAGCTGATCAAAACCTCCCCCAAGGCCATACAACTCCTGAGGAAAGGCACATGATCTTAGTGAAACTATTGATTTTATTATACACATCTGCACATATTCTACACATCTCCCACATATTATACCAGAGTTTCAGTGTTAGTCAGTGCTTTGTAAAGCCATTTGTGGCCAGGTTCTGTTAGTCTGCATGCCCTAGAGCCTCAGTGGGTGCCTAAGGCAGTGGCACAAGAGGTGTAAAAATGGAGGAGGTCTGAGACCTGTGTCTGTGTCTGCTTAGCAAATTCAAGTGAGTCAGAAGCCACCCAGGTTTCTCCCCTGCATCTCTGAGTCGAGTTAGTCTTGCAATCTTGAAGCAGAAGAAGGTAATTCTTGTCCCTGTTGGCTGACAGGTGCCAAGAGGGAACAGGGACAGTTGTCTCCCTTCTGGGCTAAGCTTCTTTGCTCAGGATGGAGTTCCTGGACTGTGATTCCTCTGTGCCCTGGTGCTTTCTGAAAGGAGAGGGGGACAGCTGACGGCTGCTGCACGGCAGAGACCTTGTAGGGGTGCAGAGAGGAGCTGGCAGGGCTGAAGCCGGAGCTCTGCTGCCCAGTGCAGAAATGCCCTGGGGCATCCCCTCCCCTCCTGTCCCTGTGCTGCTGTGTGGGGCAGGAGGAGACTCACCTGCGTCTCCAGAGGCAAAGCAGCATCAGGGCAGCAAGAGCCACGGCTCCCAGCAGCCCGGCCACGAGCCCTGTGATGAGCAGCACCGGTGAGTTCCCTGGGCAATAGAAGGAGGGGCTGCCATGAACTTGCCGGGCTTTGCTCCATCCCATGGGGTGGGCGGCTGGGGCGCCCCTTGCCGTGCCCCCGGGTGGCACCTACCCCAGGGGACGAGGAGGCTGCGGGTGCCCAGGCTGCGGTGGCGCACGCGGCAGGCGTAGCTGTGCCCGTCCTGGGGGGCCACGGCCAGGACGCTGGAGAGCTGGTAGGTGAGGTCAGCGTTGGGCAGGACGGGGCTGGTGTTGAGCTGCGGGCCCGGAGGCACCTCGTGGCCATCCCTAAGCCAGGCCACACTGATGGGCCGGGGGTAGAAGGCGGTGACGTGGCAAACCAGCAGCAGCTGGTGTGGGCTGGGCGTGCGGGCAAAGACCGTGGCCACGGGCAGCTCTGGGGGGTGGGAGCAAAGGGGGGGGGGAAGCCCTGGTTGGGCACGGCTTGGCCCCAGGGCTTTGGGGTGGCTGTGGCAGGGTCAGGGTGTTCTCACCTTGTCTCTCCAGAGCTGCCCTGCCGTAACTCAGGAACATCTCCATGGCATTGATGCAGGTATTGTTGAAGATGCCATCCACTGCCTTAACGAGGGTTGTGTCGTTCTGGAGGACATCCCTGACGTACCGTGCCAGGTCGGTGTCCTGGGAGAGGGTCCAGGTGGCATTGTCGGTGTTGAAGCTGAGGAAGTCCTGCCCATTGTAGCCCACATAGGCGAACATCCGAGAGGTCCTGTTGGGGTAGAGCTTGCAGCCTGCCATGACCTGAGCCACAAAGGGGTCTGGAGGGGCCGAGAGGGGAGAGAGGTTGCCTGAGGGGCTGGAATTGCCTTACTGCAGGCATGATCAGTGCCAGCACATGCCAGCTCCTTCCCCACTCCCCAGCTGCTGTTTAGAGAGGGGACGCAGTGAAGAGTGGATACTCACAGGGCACATCATTCTGTATGGCCCCTTCATTGCTCAGGTGGATGAAATTATGTAAATAGATCTTGATCATGTTGTCAATGGTGTCCCACTCACTGTGGGGCAGGGCTGGACGGACCCAGGGCTGGCAGAAGTGGATGTCCCAGGTGTGCTTATCAAGAGACCCAAGTTCGATGTCTTCCAGCAGGCCTATCCCCTCCGTGTCCACAAAGGAGGTGTTTTGAAAGGTAGAGGTTTGAAGCAGCCGGATAGTGAAGGTCCCTACGTGAGACAGGGGTTGGCAGGGAGGAGAGGGACAGGGAAAGTGGAGGGGCTGAGGGACAGGTCCTTGAGGTTGCAGAGATCTGTGGGCCCCCCCTAGGCCCCCTTCATCCTTGGCAGCCCCGGCTCCCAGCCCTGCACCCACCTGAGGTGGCTGCATCCCTGCCGAGGAGGAGGTGTGGAGCCAGGGGACAAGGAGGGGTGAGGAAGCAAGAGCCAAAAGTGGGTGAAGAGCAGGAAGCCTCTTGCCCATGGAGTGCCACGGGGGCATGGGAGCAGCTGTGGGTGAGGCAAGGCTGCCACTTACCCTGCAGGGTTGCCCATGTCCCAGAGAGGAGGAAGAGGTAGAGAAGGACGAGGAGGAGGCAGCAGCGAGGGGGCTGCATGGTGCCAGCAGTGAGGCCCAGAGTGTGCAGCAGTGGGTGCAGCAGCAGGAGGAAGAGGCTGTGGGAGATGAGGCTGGAGATGTCTGAGGCTGGCTGTGCCTGGGCAGCTCTGCTGGTTGTAATGGCCCTGGCAGCCAATAGGGCTGGCCCTGAGGTTTAGGGGAGGGCTCCAAGGTTCCCACTTGGGGTAGGCTGGGGCATCCCAGTGTGACTGTGAGTGTGGGGGGAATTTGCTTTGGAGCAAGGTCACCCCACCGCACCCAGGATTGATCCCTCATGGCCAAGGCAGCACCGTGACAATTAGGGTGATGGGGGTGAACTGACCCCTCTTTTCTCCCCCCTTTCAGGTGGATGTGTCTCCTGCCCATGGGCTGCATGCACTGCCCTGAGGGGAATATCCTGTCCTGCCAGTTGTGCCTGGCGTGTCTCGGCCTGCACAGAACAGACCCCGCCATCCACTGTGCACTGCCAGGTGGGTTCACACCAACGGGGCTGCCTTTCCCAGAGGGCAGGAGAACCCTCTTCCCACCACATGGCTTTGTGCCTGGGCTCTCTGTGCCCCCAGGCTGTGTGCCCATCCCATGCCTCCTTGTCACCTCCCAGCCACACCACAGCCAGGCCACACTGATGGGCTGTGGGTATAGAAGCTGGAGAGGTGGCAAACCTGCAGGAGAAGAGCTGGGCCAGGCACGTGGGTCAAGCCCACGGCCCTGGACAGCTCTGGGGGATGAGAGTGATGGAGAAGAGCTGATGGGGACATTCCCTGGCCCCTTGGCACTGCTGGCCTGATTCAGTGGGCAAGGGACTCCCCAGGTTGAGGTGATGAGCAGTTCCAGTGTGGACCACAGCTGTGGGGTCAGGGATGGGTGCAGGCAGAGCCGGAGAAAGCAGCTCCTCCAGGAGCTCCTTTTGGGGTGCCTAAGGTGAATGGGCTAGAGCAGCTGTAGTGTGTTGTTTCCAAGGGAAGTGATGGGCTGCAGGGCCTGGAAGGGACTGTTTCTTATTGACAGTCATCAGAATTCTGGAGCAGTGGTACTTGGCGAGGCAGGATCCTCAAGCTAGGCTGGGGATGGGACCATGTACCCCCACTCTGATGGCCATTCCAGGGAGTTTCAGTGGATGAGCAGCTTCCCCCTTTCCATGGAGCTCTATCCATGCTCTAGGACCTGGCAGCTGCTTCTCTGCTTCCCTGCACCCCAGTGTTGGGGAGCCCCAACTCTGCCCTGAACGCTCCCAGGAGAGGGCCTGGGGATGGCCTGCAGGCTGACACTCCCCTGTCCTTCTCACCAGCTTTGGTAGGGCACCCTGTCCCCCTCCTGAGGAGTCCCCTGTGCATGGGAACAGGAACGGTGGGAGCCATTCCCCTGCTCTGTCCCCATTGGCACCAGTGTCCCAAGCTGGGGGTTAGCAGAGGCAGCCTCACCCCCCAGTGTCCCTGATCCACTGCTCCTCCCTTACCTGCAGTTTCTCTTCCCCTTTCCTGGAGGGAGCCCAAGCTGAGGGCGAAGGCAGAGCTGAAAGCACATGTGAGGGGAAGTGTGAGGGGGGTGCCCTGATAACACCCAAACACAACCAGGGCCGAGGGGTGTGACCCCCGTGCTGTGGGATCCCTCCAAGCACAACTGGATCCAGGTGTCGCTGCTCCATGTCTCCATTTTCGGTGTCTCCAGCTGTAGGGACATGGGGAAGGCCCACATGGAGCTGCTGCAGGCTGAGGTGCAGCCCCTCGTGACACGGAGTCAGTCCTGGGGACACAAGGACACCAAACCCCTTCCCTTCCATGGAGCTGTCCCAGTGAGAAGTAGGGATGCTGTGGTGGCCTGGGAGGCCCAGAAATGGCACCAACTTCCCAGCAGGCCTCCACCCAGTGGGCCGTTCCAGTACTGCACACAAAGTTCCACATCCTTCTTTGAAGCCACCAGTGCTGGGCCCAGAGGGGAGTGTTTGGCTGGTGGGATGGCAAAGCACAGCCTTGGGGAGTCAGGGAGGGAAGGGGCAGAGGGACTTTTGTCCACACTGTCCTGTGAGGTGACCACTTGTCCCCACGATCCCCCCTAAGATGAGTGTTGGTCACTTCTTGCTGAGCAGCTGAGGGGCCGTTCTCAGCCCTCTCAGGGGCCGTTCTCAGCCCTCTGTCCTGTGCAGGTGGGTTATGACCCAGCTCTGAAGGCAGGGTAACCAAAGTTCTTGTTAATAATAGGTCCCCTGAGGTGGATTAGAGTTCAATGACACTGAATGGCTGGTGTGTGTATATATATATACGAGGCATGTAGCCCTTTTAGTTATTATCTGTAGAAATATAACAGTGTAAAAGTATAAAGACCTCATTTAGGAAAATATATAAGGAAAAGAAAGAAAGAGAAAGAAAGGATAAGAGTAGATAGTGGAGTGACTACGTTTATTTTGCTTTTTTTTTTTTTAACCAAAGAATGGTGAAAATCCATTCACAATCGTTCAGCAGCTGCTGAGTTCTTTTCTGCTGCTGAGGTCTTTTCTGCATCACATCTTTACCAATGCTGGAAGATACAACAGCTGCATTCCAAGACAATCTCCTTTGTGACCGTGGGCCTGCTTGTCAACAACCTGGCGGGCTGTTACTTAGGCACCAGTTCTCAGCAGGCACCGCATATCCTGTCCGTGCTGCAAGAGCCTCACGACAGGCACCTACGGCACAAAATTAATGATCATATTGGGCTGCAGAGCCGGGGCACCCCGGGCGCTCTGAGCCATGTCCCCCCTCGGGCAGCCGGGCTCGGGTCGGTTCGGCTGCGCTCGGGTCGGTTCGGCTACGCTCGGCTCGGTTCGGCTGCGCTCGGCTCGGTTCGGCTGCGCTCGGCTCGGTTCGGCTGCGCTCGGCTCGGTTCGGCTGCGCTCACTCCGCTCCGCCCTCAGCCTCGGCCCCGTGTGAGGCGAGGGCGCGGCGGGGCCGGTGAAGGGGTGGGGTCGGTGTCCGAGAGGCGGTGCCTGTCCTCCATCCGAGCGGGGGGTGCCCGGTGGGCACCGGGGCTGTTCGGAGGCCCCTCAGGCCGCTCCCGGCGCTGGGGAGGCGGCGGAATCATCACCATCACCATCATCACCATCATCATCTCCCGTCTGGCAGCCCCGGCATTGCCCCAGCGTGTAATCTTTTCGTATGACAGAACGAGACGCGGTGAAAGGGTTTTAGGAATTAACCTTTGGCTGTCCTGCTTCCCGTAGCTTGGCATTCAGGGAAGGAGAGGGGGAGGATGTCGCTGAAGCCGTTCACCTACCCATTGCCCGAAACAAGGTTCCTTCACGCTGGCAGGCTCGTGTACAAATTTAAAATCCGCTATGGCAACTTTAGCAGGTAAGTATGTTAAAGATGAGAAGTCAAACTGCGGATCGTTGAGTTAATATGGGACCTTAAATTCAGATCTGGGGGGGCTCCTAATTTCCTGCCTTTTTTCCACTGGCCATTGAAAAGTTACTGCTGATTCACACGCTGAGAGAGTAATCCGAGCTGTAAAAAAACACTCCTGTTTCATTGCCCTGTGTGAATTTTTTGCTCCAGTGGAAAAGAGGCGGTTTGTACAGGCAATATTTAAGGATGTAACTGAGAAACTCCAGAGCCTTTGTGGTGGTTTAAGCCCAGCTGGCAACTGAGTGGAGTGAGGGCGAGAACTGGAAAGGTAGAAGTAAAACCGGTGGGTTAAAATAAAGGCAGTTGAATAAGTAAAGCAAAAGATACACATGCAAGCAAAGCAGAATAAAGTTCTGAGTTCATTCACTGCTTCCCATGGGCAGGCAGGTGTTTAATCTCCAGAAAAGCAGGTCTGTTGTAGCGCAAAATGGTTACTTGGGAATACATCTGCCTCGATGCCAAACGTCCCCCCCTGCCTTTTTCTGCCCTATATTTTGCTCCTGAGCGTGACATCCTCGGGTCTGGAATATCACTTGGGTCGGTCAGGGTTATCCCCCCCCATCCTTGTTCTCTCCCAACCTCTTGTGTACCCTCAGCCTGCTCACTGTGAGGAGCAGAAAAGCCCTGACACTGGGTAGGTACTGCTCAGTAGTAAGTAAAACATCTCTGTGTTAGCAACGCTGTTTTCAGCACAAATCCAAGCTGTCGAGAAAATTGACTTCTATCCCAGGCAAAACCAGCACAGCCTTGGAGCTCCATGCTCAGTGTATGTACTTACTTCCTGGGCTGTTTGCTGTTATCCGTGTGCCTTTCAGAAGAGGGAGGGGAGTTCTCATCTCTGACCGTGTTCTGGCTGGGGCCCCTCAGTGGGGAAGGTGTGATCATGGCTGCCTGCCAGACCATAAAATAAACCAGGGAATACCTGTGTACCTTGGACTCCTTGCCCACCTTGGATTCCTTGCGCTCCACTTTATTGGCTTATTTTTAAGTGACCTTTATGTGGTTTGTTTACTTTTTAATGAGTTCAGATTTTCTTTAAGACCAGCTCTTTTCCTGTGCATTAGATTGTTGGCCGATACCTGGCAGCAAACAGCTTCTGAGAGGGTGGCTTCCAGAAGCTGTGGTTAGTATTTGGGAACAGTTTGATGTAGGCAGCACACGACTCCCAGCATCCCAGGGCTAATGCTGGTGCTGTGGGTTTGCACAGAAGGGGATTAACAGACGTGTCCTACCAGTTCCTCCTTTTAGTCCCTTAAACAGAATGGCACCACGATAAAGACAGGGCGTGGTTTGAGGGCACTGTGTCAAAAATCCCCAATCCTGAGGGTTACTGGGGGTCAACTGTAAAGATCTGATCTCTCATCCATTGTATCCACAGATACACAACACACAAATGGGCAGAAAGTTCACGAGGAGCAATCTTTGTGCAATGGTGGATGTTTTTTAAGAATAATAGATTAAGAATTCATCTGCCTGCTCAGTGTTTTTTCCTATGCAGTGGGAATGATGTTTTGTTGCTGTTTAAACTCTTTATCAAGTGTTGCTCCATTGCTTTTTGACTGGGATGGTTCCAACTCTGCTTGTTTCACAGTGCTCCCGATCTCAGTCTTGCTGAAAGTGCTGCCAAGGAGTCAGAGGTAGGAGCTGAGGCAGGTCCACAGGACCTTGGGTGGGTGTTAAATTGAACAAGTCTTATGTTTGTTATGGGACAGGGAATATTTTGTCAAATGCAGCATCTCAAGGGTGAATAATAGGGAACTTCTCTGGAGAGTTCAGAGTTCAGATGTAAATTAAAAATGCCCTCAATAGGCAAACTTGGTGTAGAGGAGTCATACTTTTATTTCAAATATTGCAAAGAAGCTACTGACTGTTAAAACTGGACAAATGGAAACTCCTGATTGTCAAACTAGTTGCACCCTGTTCCTGTCTGATTCCTCTTCACAGTCATTCTTGCAGGAGCACTTTTAATGATGCCAATGCTTTGTGTCCAAGCACAAATTGATTGTCACAATTGGTGAATTGTGTTGTTGTCATCTGCTTCCTGGGACAGAAGAAAGCTCCTGCCATTCCTGAGAAAATGAGACAAATAAAGTGCCTTCTTAAAAATGCTCCCTCCTATTACTTAATTTTTTAAAATCTTCAGAGTATAGTAATAACATTAAAAATATTACTGGAGAAAATGTTCTGATTTTAATTGATATGAAGAATTATAATTTTTTTTTCATTTTTGAAAATATTGAAAGGTATTAATAGAAAATCTTTCCTGTTAGTACAGCAGGAGTTTTTTGGGGCTTAACTGCTGTTCCCTTGTAACTGATTTGGGTCAATATTTAGCAAAAGAGAAATATGTTGATTTTTGCACAAGTAAATGCTACATGTGTTTTGCTGGGAAAAAAGAAGGACACTTCTTAAATTTAAAACTTATTAAATTTGAAACCATATCTTCACTCTCCGTAGTAATTCTTCTATATTAATTTAAGATTAAGATATTCCTTCGATTTCTGTGAGTCTGTCAGTGCAGGGCACTCTAAGATGATCAGAGGGAGCAGAGAGAAGAAGGAGAGGAGGAAAAGCAGAGTATCTAGAACCTGTTTTTCCATGATTCATGCAAACAGTAAAGTTAATTTTTCTCAAGCCTTGAAACTGTGCTTGACACTGGAATTGTTGCGATGTTTTTAATATTCTTCCTTGTTTTGGTTTGGGGTTTTTTTGGGGCCTCCCCAGGAAGTGATTCGAGTAATCCTTGGAAATCTTGATGACTTACATCCATTTTCTACAGACCACTTCACTGTGTTTCCATGTATCCTTTTTTTGCTGTTTATAAAAGAAAAGGTTCAATGATCTGTGTGTGTTGGGCATTGCCTAATTCAACATTCATGTGTAGGACTGTGCAGATCTTTAGCTGGAGTAGGAATCCTTCAAGCTTTGCTGTTTGACATTGGCTGAAGATCCTTCTCAGATGTTGCCTTCACCAGAGAACTGATGTGAAAACAGTGTTTTGCAGCGTTTCCATCAGAACACCCCTGCATTCCAAATCAGATTTGGCCAGAGAAAATGAAGGCATGCCCAGAAGTCCACCCTCCTGCCACTGCAAGCACAGCCAGAGCGTTATTCCCAGAGGGTCATAAAATGTAAAGCTCTCCTTACAGGCTTAGCAGTGGTGACCTGTGGGTGCAGAAGCCTGCAGTGCTGTTTTTGTGTGGTTCCTTGAGGCTAAACCACACCCGTGAGCTTTTGGGGATGGAGGTGGGAGCAAGTGTGACTCTGTGCTCAGGTATCTGCAGAGATGGCTGAGAGAAGCAAAAAGCACCTCAGAGAGTGAGCTGTAGCAGGAGCAGTAGTTAAGCTGAGATAATTGGAAGTTCAGCCAGGCTTTTGAATACCTGAAGCCTGCAGGATTGTCATCTGGTTATCCTGGTCCCCCCTTCAGTGTCATCCACCCAGTATTCACCTTATTCTGCTCATCCCCCTTACTCCTGTGGGACCACTCAGCAGATCTTTTCCTTCTTCCCTGAAGTCTGCAGAGGCCTTTAGGTGCTGTCAGTCTGGCCTGCTGTACACGGGCAGTGCTGTAAAAGCTCTGTGCTCTTGCACAGCATAGACATATAGAAGCTGATACCCGAATATTGGCGTGCACAGGTTTTGCTGAGTGTGGTTTCCTGGGATTTATGTAGGTGCTGAGGCATTTGAGATGGAATTATTGTGGCCAGCAGCTGTACTACAGGCTCCTTCACCTTCTAGGTGTTTTTTCATCAGAGTGCACCAAGGGCACCAAAGGCTGGCCTTCATCTTTTTCTTCTGGCTTGTGCACCTGGACAGAATTTAGCCATGTCAGAGCTGCACCCAGGAGAAGGAATGCCTCTAACTTCAGTGGTTGCCATGTCAATTATCTTTTTCCCCCCCATTTTGAACTGAGAACTAAATTTAATCATGCCGCTCCTATGAGTCCTAGTCCTTTTCAGTTTTTAAATAAATTTTTAAAAGAATTACTTTTTAGTTAGGAAGGCTGCTGAGGTTTTATTCATAGGGTTGGAAGAGCCTGGCATGTTGGGTTTTTTGCAGAAGGGTGTCAGGAGGGCAGTACAGTTAAGGGAACAGAACACTCTTAGTACAGGTGACTGATGGGGCAGCATCACCTGGATGAGTGTTTCTTCATAAAGTGCTTTTTCATGAAGTTCATAGTGGCAGGTTGGGTTTGCTCCCTGGTGCACATGTGCAGCATGATGTGGTTTTTGAAGGCACTGTCAGGACTCCTGCTCCTTTGAAGTGTTAGTGCTGTGTTTTTAAGCCTTATCATTGTTCTCAGATTTGAGTAAATGGGAGAGAGTATCGAAGATGAAATTCAAACATGAGAATGTCCATCTTGTGCCTTATCCCTACATTTGCACATTGTATCTGGAATTGAACTCATTTCAGCAAAATACGTCTTGTGGTAAGTCACTGTGGTTATGTTTGGATAATTTCAGAAAATACCCATGATCTATGTCTTGCTTTCCCCTTTCCCTTCACCTGCTGTATCTTTGAATGAGAGAGAGCAAAACTGCATGTGGTGTGGTTTGAAATAGAGCATGATAGCGTGTTCTCTATTGTCCTGTGTTGCTTTTCTAAAATTTCCTGAATTTCTCTTTGCCTTTTCAGCCACTGCTGACTCTTCAGCAGGTATTTATTCTTATGAAGTGATGCCCAGTGGCTCCCAGCCTTCATTTTTTAATGTCAGTCACTGGGCTGGAGCCATTACGTGGAACCATGGAATACATGTTTTTCTTCTTTGTGCTTGACTGCATTTGCTGACAACACTCTCTTTGTTTCTAGTTTCCTAAAGAAAGAATGGATTTGTTTTTCTAAATAATGATAGTAATGATGGTAATAATGTCTTTTGTGTAATTAGCAAATGTTGTCACCTCAGTAGTGTCTCATTTTCCAGGTTTTCTGTGAATTCCCTGAACAGCCTCAGGCCCCAGCTGAGGCCTCTGTGGGACTCTGCATTTGAATTCCCCTGTTGGGAAAACTGAGTGTTCTTCCTATTTCCTGTTCTGATTATCAGGCCCTGAAAAAAAATGCTGTTTTTTCTTATGACTGCTTAGCAGGTAATCTGATCTCCTTTATAAAATGACCAAGTAGTCATTTCTTAGTCTCACCCATTTGTACTCCCTGTCAAACATCCCACGTTTGGATGTAAAAACCGACTGTGGAAAGGTCCAAACTGTTCTTGACAGTAGCTTATCTTGTTCCTGGAAGATGAGGTGCAATGCAAAAATGTACTTTTCAGTTGGTTACAGAGAGTCCAGTCTAAATAATCATCAAGTTTTATACCTCTGTTTACAGGTAAAGAAGTAAACAGAGGCAGTGATGAGCTTGTAAGTTGTGCCTTTGTTTTTGTTTAAATATAAATTAAACAACAAAACAAAGTATTCTGGAGAAACAGAATATATATATTTAGGCAGTGCTACAGTTCTTGTACTTCTCGGAGTTAGTCAGTGTAAACTGGCACTGAATCTCACCCAGAACCATCCAGCAGGAGAGAAATCTTCCTGTCAGTTCCAGTGGACTTGGAATGCAGTCCTGCCATAAACAGCAACGTTAAGCTAATTTGGTCATTTTTGTGTAATGAGAGCTCAGGGTAGGTTTGTTTTCAGTGTGGGTGAGTGTCTGAACATGGAGTGAATTCATGAAGATGTCCTGTCCAAATTCCCCCAAAGAACGTTTCTGTGTCTGCTTAGCATTCCATTCCTGCTACTTAAATTCCTAGCAGTCCTCTGAAGATGGAGCAAATAGGATGTCCTGGAATGCAGGATTTTGTTTAAAACTGTTGAGCATAATTCTCTGGATGGCCTCCCAGTTCTTATCTCAGTCCTGAACCCTTCTTTTGTTTTCATTCTGTAAATGAAATGATTTTGCGAAATACGAATGTACATTGTATTAACTCTGAATTTTGTTCCCAAGTAGAGAAGTCAAAATCACTTGTTATCAATACCAAGTTTGCAATGTTTTGAAGGTCAGGAGAAGAAATGACATATCAGAAAGTACTGCAGTGGAAGAAGCAGTGAAGAGGAGGAGAGTGGAAGTTGGAGCAGAGAATTCATGCCCACAATGGCATATGGACAGGTCAGTTGACTGACAAAATAAAAATATTGATATATATCCAGGGAGATTAATGTCTCTTTTATGTCGTTTTAATGGTTCTTGTGTCCTCATGTTTCATTTCTGTGCAGTCCTTTGCCCTGTTTTTCTTCTTCCTCCTCTTCCATAAGTAACAGAATCTCAGCAGCGTTGCTCATATTGGGGGGAAAAAGTTTTCCTGTGCTTCCCAGGTTCCCATGCCATGGACCAGGCCTCTGCCTGTTTAATTCCTCTGTGTTCACACAGTGGGGTAAGAGCTCAGCAGCCAGACAGATCACTCACTGCACTGGCTTGCACACTGAGCCAGGGACAGCAAGGACAGTTCTTCAACTGGGAAGAGCTTTCCAGCTGCCCCCCAGCCTGCCTCTCAGCTCGAGGCTGATGGCAAAACACGCTGGAGCTTGCTCTTTTCCAAGTGCTTTAAAGCCTCACCAAATTGCACGTGTTGTGGGTGCACATGAGTGTTCTCACACATCTTTCCCGTTGGTTTCTTCGGTAGCTAAACCTGTCATGGTGATTCCCAAGTAGGTCTCTGTCTCTGGATTTCACAGAATGACTGAGGTTGGATGGGTCCTTTGATATCCCTGAGTCCCCACCCCTCTTGCTCAAGCAGGGTCACCCAGAGCAAGTTGCCCAGGATGGATCCCCTCGGGTCATGAATGGACTCCAACTGTGGACAGCCTGTTGCAGTGCATGACCACAGTTCTAGTCAAAAAGGTTTCTCTGGTGTTCAGACTTAATTTCATGTTTTGCAATCTGTGCCTCTTGTCCTACCAGAAGGTGCTGTGGAGGAGGGCCTGGCTCCCTGTCCTTCATTCTCTCCCATCAGGTGTACATTGATAAGAGCCCACCCAAGCCTTCTCCAGGCTGAACAGTGCCATGTCTCATACAAAAGGTTCCCTCTTTGCATACAAAAGGTTCCCCAATCCCATCACCGTGTTTGTGGCCCTTTGCTGGGTTCACCTCAGTGAGTCCCAGTCACGTCCTGGGGACAGAGCCCACAGAGGGGCTCCAGCAGCCTTGAGTGGAGGGGAGGGGTTGCTGCTTGAGGGCAGTGATTTGGCAGAGCTCTGCCTAATTCAGCTCAGGGGGTTGTTGGCCACCTTTAGCACGAGGGGGCAGGCCTGGCTCGTGGCTAACTTCAGGCTTGGTTCTTGACTATCTCCCAGAGGCCCAACATCAGTTACAGGCCAGCAGGCTTCTTTCTTTATAACAGGGTGGAGCTTTTAAAAAGAGAAAATTTCAGTCTGTGCTGAATTGTCACAAGTGACAGAGTCCCTGAGCCGTCCCTGTGGTGGGATGTGTTTGTGCACACCTTTCCCCTCCCCTGCACAGGCTGTCTCCAGTCATCTCTCCTTGCCTTATATCCTACCCCATTCCCAAGTGTGTTCCATGCAGAGATTATAACAGGAGCAGTCTGAAAACAGTCCTTTTCCTGCTCATACAAATGTAGTCCTTTAATCCCACTCCCATTCCCCTGACCAGTCACAATGCAACAGCTGGAAATGAGGGAGGAATGAGCCCCTGATTCAGGATGCTTTCTGGTTTCTTTTAGCCAACACGTGAGCTGTAGATTAATAAAGTACAAGAACAAAAAGGGCTATTTCATGATCCAGTCTGGCAATTCTCTCTAGGTCATGTATCTTACCCCAGCAGTTATGATTAAAACAGTTCATAATTGTAATTTCTTGAATTCAAAATCAAATTGGTGAGCATCAGCTTCAAGCCTTCTGTCATTTTTTTCCAGTTATGTTGTTAGACTGAAGAGCTCATCCAGGCTGAGCATCCCCTCTGCCCCAGGAAGGAGTGTGTCTGCTGTAGTGATACCACCTCTTGGTCTTCTCATCTTTCTGGACAAGCTTTTTGGCCCCTGAGTTCTCATGGGGGATTTGGGTTTTCTTGGGGTGTTACTGAGTGCTGAGGAATCAGAACCTCCGGGTGACAGTCCCAGTGATACTGAGCACCTCACAATGTGTGAAGCCAGGATTGGGATTCTCCACATGCATCCCATTGCACCTCCCTGTACAGAGCTCCCTTTGCTGTTTTATTGCTCTGTGACCAAGTCCTGTAAGATCTTTCTGTGGTTCTTTGCTCCTTGCCCTTGTAACTTTGTAGGATTCACAGGCTTTCTCAGCTCACTGCTCATCCCCCTTTCCATGTCATGTAACACTTTTTTTTCCCCTTTTAACTGCTTGTTAGTTTTAGTAGAAGAGCAGAAAGCCTAATACTGGAACAAGTGCATATTTTAATTTTTTAAGGTAGACTTTGAAACATCAGTACAAATACAGATTAAAGGTATATATCTTGTTGGCTAGAGGTACTAAAGTCCTGCTTTCTAATGAAATACTTGGAGTAGCCATTTACAGGATTGCTTCCTTTTTGTGACATTTTGTAAACTCAGTTCTTACTTACTTGGCTTATTTTTAGAACTGGAGCTGATTGTGCTCATCAGATGAGTAAAGCAGAGCATGGATTTGAAAAGGTAAGTTACAGAATATTCAGAAAGAAGCAGCAGCAGCTGTTTAGTCCTTGTCCTTAACACCTGTGTCATCCTAGCTGTCACTCATCCTCCCAAATGTCCCTGGGCATTTTGTCCATTTTCTGGATACCCACTGTAAATTTAGTTCAAATCCCTGTCACACTATCACCTTCCTGGCTCTGTCCCACCCTCAAAATCTTTGAAGAGAGTCTTTTCCAAGGAATCACTCATTTCTCTCAGGATTGCCCACAAAAGGAGCCCAAAACTTTGTTTCAGAGCAGGATCTTTTGATAGATTTGTTAGATTTTCAAGATAGGAGGAAGACTGCATTCAATAAAGAATAATTTTTCTAAAACAAGCAGGCTTATTTGACTCTAAAATTTACGTCACTTTTTCTTCCCCCTCTGCTTACCTTGTCCCTGGAATTTGCACTAATCAGGGCACTGTTGCACTGAGAGGGATGTCCAGACAGAAACTGTTGTGTTGATGAATACCAGAGCAGGTGTAACAAGCACTGTGTGAAATCATGGGCACAAATCCTCTTCCTGGTGTGGGATTTTTAGAAAGTCAGACCCAAGTACTTCTGTGACATGCTTTCTGTTTGTTTGGGTGTTTTTTATTTGGGATGAGAAGATTAGGTTTAGGAAAAAAACATGTCAGTAGCTCCTGGACTTGATCTTGGAGTGCTTTTCCAACCTGAATGGTTGTGTGATTCTGTGTTTAGTGCAAGGGGAACAGCAGTGGGTCTGTTTTTCTGTTAGAGTTTACCCTCTCCTAAAGAAGCTGACCTGTTGGTTTTGTTGTTTGTGCTTTTACATGATGGTTTTGGGTTTTGTGGTCCTCTAGGTTGCTGATCACCCTCCTTATGGGTATTCCTGGCCCACCTCTTGCTTCTGGCAGTTTTCATTTCTGTCCTTTCTCAGTTAATCTGTGTACCAGGACTGTGTCTTAGCAGTGCTAATGTCTAGGGGCCTGTACTCTCCAGGGGTTGTTGTTTCCCACAGCTCCTCTGTTCATATTTTTTGAAATCTCTACTCATGCCATAGCTCCTGTTATTTCACTGTCTGATATGTTAAATTCTTCTAAATTAATTACAGCTTTATGTTAGGCCTGTGAATGTCCTGAGGAGGGAGGTGTAAAAATATCTTGAAGAAAGTCCTCACAGTAGCAGAAAAAAATCCCCAAAAAACAACAGAACAAGAAAGCAGACCTTGCCTTTTTGGTACTTTTAGTACTTGCTTAACAAGCAAGCAAACTAAAATTTCTGTACAGTAGAATTTTGCATTGTGTAACAGTTCTTGGGTTCCTTTTCCTTTCAGAACTCTTCCAAGGCAAACGAGTGCAAGTTTAGCCCAGCATCCCTTAGTAAAGACTGTGAGTAAGGAGTTCCTGGATCGTTCCATTCCGCTGGGTACGCAGGGAGTGTGGAGTGAGTGAGGTTGTGGTTTTGCTCTTGCTGCTGTTTCTTGCAGGGAAACGTGTGGAATCTGCCCCTGAACAAGGAACAGCAGCCAGTCAGGCTGAGGGTGCAGTGCAGCTGCTGCAGCAAATGGACCAAACAGGAAAGAAAGGAAATGGGAAGTCGGAAGGAAGAAGTCTCTCAACGTTCTGGAGAAGGTACTAATGGTGCAGCAGTGAGCAAGTGCAGTCCTGGCTCTGTCTAAGCCTGTGTCAAGGCTGATTCTGGCAGTTCAGGGGATTTTGCACGGTTCTGGAGGATGGAGACCTCTTTTCCGTGGCTAAACCAAAGTCCCCCAGGGCAAAGAAACATTCAGGAATATCCTTTTATCTCGTGGTAAGGTGCAGCATTCCCCCAAAATTTTCCTCTTCTGAACTGTCTTTGGGAAAGAACACACGAGAGGGTCACTGAATCTCTGTAACAGCCCTTACAAAATTAACTCACTAAAAACCAACCAATGTCCAACTGCTGCCGTCCACTCCCCAGCCAAGAACAGCCACTTTGTGTAAGAAATAAAACTTCTTGTTAATTGTGGTGTTTGCCATCCCCTTAATGACTGAGACCAGACCGTCAGGGCACAAATTATTCTTTGTTTCCTCTATTTTTCCAGTTTCCTTCCGTGTTGTTTTGTACTGTCATTGTGTCTTTCTGTTGGACAGAAATTGCCTTCTTCCCAGTTCTCAGAGAAGTATTTTAAGTCTAATGTGCTCTTTTTGTTGTTGTTGTTGTTTCCCCAGCATCATCTTTTCGCCACTACAGCACCTTTTTGGTGGAAAGAACTGACCTGGTAGTACTGATTGTTGTGGAAAGGTAAATTTGTAGCATGATTGTTGGGTTGTGTTGTTTCTTCTGTAATTCAGTTTTTCACGTTGCTTGTCTCAGCTGTTAAAATCTTTAAATTAAATTCTACTTCGTTTCCATTTTCATGGTAACATTCAGAAGATGCTGGGTTAGAATGTCTTTTTCTTCACAACTTAGAGCTTTTGGAAATAAAGTAGTAAAAAACTTTTGAGGTTTTGATCCTTAAGCGTCATAACTTGTGAATTTAACATTTTTGTGAGATTCTAATAAAGCAAGCATTGGCTTGGAACTGTGTGTTATTTTAATCAGACTTACCCAGGCAGGACACTTTCTCCCTTCAAGAAGCAGCAAAGGTTTCTAGTATTAGTTGGACTCCAGTGCTATGCTTCACAGCATTAAAAAGGTCAAAATTCTGGAAAATATTTCGGATTCAATTACCCAACACTACAACTTGGGTTATTATTTGTGCCTTCAATATGTAGTGGGATGAGGCTGGGAGTGAAGCCTTCAGGTGTGCCCTTTTCAGGGGGCTGAGCCAACAGCAGAAGGGAGACAGACCCCTCTGCAGGTCTTCCCACTTTATTCAAGTGTGTTACCTGCAACCACCATCAATAGTTTAGGGAATGACACTCCTTATTAATGTAAAATTGTGACAGGTCGAAGTTTGAAGGTTGCCAGTGACAGTGTCTGGCTGCAAAACATTTAAAGCAATATACAGATGAGTTTTATCCCCTTTAATAGTTCTCACCTAATAGACATCCCTATGGGAGAGAAGGCAGGTAAGACAGGTTTAGCCCATCAGCTGATCCCAGCAGTTATGATGTAGTCTTCCCTAACTTTCCTCCATTCTCAACTTACCTTTATACTATTTCTTTATGTTTAGGTGGAACTTGAGCGACTCGAGTAATAAATACCTTTGTTGCTCATTGCTGTAAAATTGGTCAAAAAATATAGAGTGCATGCCCAGAGGGGGGGTGACTGTACCTTGGAGGTGAGTAACTTTAGGATGGAGGTGTCTGTTAATATTACAGTTAGGCTTTAATGAATCAAGTTCATCTGAGGAGAACAATTTTGCCCAATTTTGCCACCACTGCTGGCTCAGCAGCAGGACATCTCCTCCTTGGTTTGCAGCTGATAAAACCACACAGCACCTGCCAAGTACCACCGAATTTCCACAGAGCCTGGCCGTGGTGTCTCCCCTCTGCTCCACCCTCTGCAGCTTTTTGGGCTGGTTGGAGCGGCGATGGTGGGGAAGGACCACGCGATGGCGCCGGACACTTGAAAAAGAGTGAATACATCGCTCTCTCCAACACACCAGACGTGAAGATCCGAAGTTGAGAGCGTCCTCCACGGCTCTCAAAGAAACTGTGTCAGCACAGAAGGATTTCACTGACCTTCTCTTCTATTTGCAAAACTGTACTCGCGCTGCGATCGTGTGGCGGCTCCTTTTCCTTGCAGTCTGAAAACTGCACACACAGCCAAAGGTGTGCTGTGCTTTCAGTCTCTGCTACGTGTAGTATCAGGTAGTTTTCAGTCTCACAGTCCAAAATTTCCACCTATTTCTCTCCCTCAAAAATGTGTCAGGACAGAAACAGTCCAGCAAGCTGTCGGAACACACCCAGTGCCATGCTCTTTGCTTCTCAGCTCTGTGTACTATCACGTTCTGTCCCCTTTGAAGTCTGAATTCCAGGAGCTCCCAAGGTCGCTCTCTGTACCTGCCCAGCTCTGCCAGATCCAATGGACTCTCCAGGTGTTTTATCTCCTGCTCCCATTAAAATTCCAGTCTTGTTAGGTGACTTTATATCCCCTCAAAAATCAAATTGAGTTCCCCTCAAAAATCGAGTTCCCCTCAAAAATGTGCCACAAAAACCAGTTTTTATCCTTTATTTCTCAAATTTCCCCTCCTGTTTATTTCTCTCACTGCAGGAGTGATGAACATCACAGAAGTAACAGCGGGAAAGGGGGATAAATAGGATGTGACTGAAAATGCTGTGTTTTGTTATTTAAGCAGGAGCTGGTCAGTGTTCAAAATGTCCAGGTAGGAACAATATGAACACAGCAACAGGAAGACCAAGGAACTGGTCAGTTCAGTTCAAATACTGAGCTTGGATTGTCAATATTTCAGTCCATGGGAGTTACAGGATAAGGGATTACTCACAGACTGAAACATTCTCATAAATACTGTTCAAGCCACCTGTGTCAGCTGCTCTGAGGGATTCACAGAGGAAGTGAAGCACTGTTCTCCTTGTGGAGTATCCAGAGTAGTTATAGCCGAGTCAGTCATCTCTGTTCTCCTTCCCTTTTATGTCCTAATAAATCCCCACCCAAGACCAGAGTGGTTCCTGGTGTTAGGCTGACTAGCTGCTGTTTAAATGGAAATATTATAGTTCTGTGTTTTTCTGTGTCTGAGTACAGGCTGGATTTTTTGAAATTTGAGCTAGAGACGATCATGTGGGTGCCAGATCTCTGCCCTGATAAAAAAATGAAGGGAAGGAGTTCTTTTTGGCCTTGGTGGACTTTGGCATCTTATGGCCATTGGGCCTTAAGAATCCTGCAAGCTGGAGTATTAAACTGCAGGAGGGCATCCTGCAATAGTAAGCTGTATAAATATGACTGTCAAACGTAGTTGGCTATTGCAAAAAGTATAATCATAGTATAAAACAGTCTTTATTTGTTCATTTCCTTTCTTGTCTTTGTTGTATTTATTACTCATCTTGTCATATCCCAAGATGATGCTTTTCCTGGGTAATGCTCATGTTTTTGCAATACTTTTTTCAGTGTAGTCTGTCAGACTGTTCAGTGACTTAGAGCTTCTTTTAAAAGATTGAAAGCTGCTGCTTTCAAGGGAAGTGATACACCCATCCCTTAAACATCACTGAGAAATAATTTAGATCCTTAAACCTAAAATGGGGGATAAGAATTAACCTTGTTGTTAGGGAGGCTCTGCAGAGCTGGACATCTTTCCCAGCCAAAGTGGTTTTTTAGAGCTTCCCCATCTGCAAAGATGCATAAAGCATTCTTGCCATGCTGTGGAGCTGAGAAAAGAAATCTCTTCCTCCTGAGGTGCAATATCTCAGCAATAAATATTATAGAAAAGCCTATAAATATTGCAGAAATTGATATGTTTGTTGAATGAGGTTCAGCTACATGCTTACTGCAATTTTCAAATTCCTTTTCTTTGAAATAAGCAAACAAACAAGTAGTTTACTCTAAATCCCACACTCCTCATTCTTCGTCAAAGGCTTTTGAGGAAATGTTTACCATTTCTGTTTAACTTCCAAATGTTACTGATTTCATTAGAACATGCCATTTCCACAAGTCTGGATTCCCTGCATTTTGGTGTTTATACAACTGTTGCCTGTGTTTTGTGAACAGAAAGGAAATAGTAGCCTCAGCTGGCACTTATTAGTCTTGTTATTTGGAGGTCATCTTCATATATTTTGATAAATTGCTGTCAAGCAAAGATTCCATGCTGTGGCTGAAGAGTAATAATGCAGGAGAATAAGTGTTACAGGTGGAATTCTGATTCATAACAACTTCTTTTTTTGTTTGTGAACTAAAATAATAACAAGGCAAAAATCACACTGTGCTAGGATATACAATGTGTATAGAGGTTTCATGAATAATGAAAATGATCAGCCAAAAAACTTACTGCTTAAACTGAACTATTTACTTCTCTTGGCTGTTTCTAAAAGTTTCCTTCTAAGGAATACCAACTATATTAGCAGTAAAATACCCCAGTAAATGTATTGTGTTATGGAAGGAATCTAATCTTATCCTACTTAAAAAAAATACGCCCTACATCTGTAGCAGCTCAGCACTTCTTTCATTATATGGAATTAATGAATAACTTTAATGACAATATAATGAATAATTTTAAAGATTCTAAACTGCATTCCAGTTTTTAAACAAGGTGTAAGCTAGGAAAATGAGGGAGTTTTGAGACTTAAATTATTGGACTGAAACAGTGGATCTTGCTACTCCTGACGATGCTCTGTAAAAAAAATAAACCAGAGTGAGAGACTTGATGTCTTTCTTGCCAAGCTGGGAAGTGAAAACATGTCTGAGAATGTTTCTGATTGTGGTGCTGGGATTAGGAGCCCTGTTGTGAGAGATTAGATGCAAATTCTGTCCCTGTGATCTTTTCTTAACAGTGATAATGAGCATAATTAGAGGACTCTGATAAAAGGTCAACAACTCTTGCAGAACCTCTGGGAATTTTGATTAGAAACTGGGAGAAAAAAAATCCATAAGCTTTAAAAGTCTCATCTCCTGAATATTTTCTGGAAAATGTACCAACAAACATGACTCTCTATACTAAGGAGAATGTATATTCTGGCTTAGCTTTTTTCCCCCTATTTTTTTTAAAAAAGGAGCTGTTTTGAATCCCTTCAATTAGTGCCTGGTGAAAGGGAAGACTTCCTCTAGGGAAAAAGCTGAAATAGAGTTGTTATTATGACCACAAGGTGGGCTGAGAAGTAGCTGAACTCTAGAACCTGATCCAGAAGAAATAAATCTACAGGTTATAGGGTGGGGAATGTGGGCTGGCATGGTGCTAAAAAGCCCATCCCACAAGGGTTGTGTGACCAGAGCTGATCATGGCTCATTATCAAGGCCTGAACAAGCTGTTTCCTGTAGTCCCTGGTTTTCTCAGGCCATGAATAGCAGGAAAAGGCCAGTCCCAGAGGCAAGGAGAGGGTTAATGTGCTTGGCAGAGGGTTCAGAAGTGGATATAATTGTAAATGTTTCAGAGCAGCTGAAACGTCAGGGCTTGTGCTTTCCAAGCCTTCAGGTTGAGGCTGATCTGTCCTGGGGAGAGCTGTGGATACCTGAGGAGGATTTCTCAGTCTGCTTTACATGGTCAAGGGTTCATTTCATAATTCCAGCCTGGAGTGGAAGCTGGGACAGACTCTAAGCTACCTTAAGTGTCAGGCTAGTACCAGAAAAGTACCAGCTGAGCTTAAATGCCAAGGAAAATTTTTAAAATGCTTTTCAGCTCTCAGCATTTGCTCTGATGAGTTTTTAGCCAGGAGCTTTCAGCCAGGAGCTTTCATACCTGCATAATCTTTCTGCTGTCTCGTGTAAAATTAGAAGTGCACGTGGTAGCAGGAAACAAAATTAAGTACTTAATTTGCCTATGTCATTCTGAGGCCAGATGGTACTGGAAAAATAACGTGTTAGTTGGCAATGACACCCCTGTTCTTCCTGCCACTGGATGGCAATGTTTGATTAAAAAAACGCACCTAACTATGTAGGAGGAAATAAAACTAATCCCCTCTTTTCTTGGCA